TCTAGAGTTTTTGATGATTTAATTCAATTAAATCCAACGATTGATAATGGTAAATATATCAATTCTTTATTCAATGAAAATATCTTGTTTTTCTTTGTTAATAGAAAATCGAGAAAAACCCAATTCATTAACAGCAAATGCAAATGCTCAACAAGAAACAACAGATAAGACAACAAAAGGTAATTACCTCTATTTATATATTATTTTTTGTTTCTATTAATAAAATATGATTCATTTAGTTATTGAAGAACGAAATAAATATGCTGTTGAAATATGTAAACGAATTCGTGATAAACTTGATGGTTCAGATCCTGATCCATTAATTCAAAGTTCAATTAGTGAACAAGTAAATAAAGAGAAATATTTTAAGAAAAATCAATATCGTTTTTTCTAGGTTCGTTATACAATTCGTGAAGCAACAGATGTTGAAAATTTAGCAACACTTTATGAAGGATGGACATCATGGGTATGAAAAAATTATATATGAATAATTAATGGTTAAAAGAAAAGAAATCAAGCAGCAAGTATATTCTATGGAAGAAATCATAACGTATTGTATTAGAAGAAGAATCTATTGAAACATCAAATATAAATTTGTCTTTTTTTTTCATGGTTATGATCATCAGTCAATTTTATTTGTATTTTTCTGTGATTGAAGTATCAAAGTTTAAATGGATATTTTTCTTTTTTTAATCCAGAGTTTTTGTTACGGTTATATTTAAAAAAAAATAAATAAACGAGAACTATTTCCTTAATTAATATAAACTTATATTAAAAGAAGAATCCATTGAGTTTCACAAACAAATAATGTCAATTAAGAATTTTTATAACGAAAGATTAACACTTCATTTAAAATTTTAAAATTAACAAAAATGAACATCTCGTTTTGTCCAACATAAATCGTCAGGCCATGTCGGAGTATTATTTAGAGGTAATAATTGGCATTGAAATGTTTTAGGTATATAATCACGTTTAGTAAAAAAATCTATTAAGAATTTAACACGATGAGGAAAACTACGTACTTTTAACCATTCTATTTGTATAAATGGTATATCGAATAAATCAAATACTTCACTTCCACTTTCAACAGCAAAACTTTCACTTCCTTCAATATCCATTTTTATTATTGCTCCACGTACACCACGTGCTTGTAATATTGGTACTAAATCATTTAATTTTATTGTTTTTACTATATATGGATCTATTGTTACACTATGATTATATATTGTACTGTGATTATTTGGTGGTTTCATTACAATATCTAATTCTTGACCACCAACATTATTTGCATTAGGTGCTAAACGTAAATATTGTCCAGAATGTGTATAAAGTGCATTTTGTATAAGAACAACTCGATTAGTAATATTTGCTAATTCAACAGCACGATGTATACGATCAATATTAGGTGCAAAACATTCAATAGCTAATACAAATCGACCTAATGCAGCAGCATACATTGTATAAGTACCAATATTTGCTCCAATATCAATAAAATCAAGATGTGGATAACGAAGAAGAAGTTGAAGTATACGTAGTACACCATGTTCTTCCCAAATCGTAAGTGATTCTTGAAAAGATTTACTTACATATATATCTGTTTGTTCTTGATGTAGACATACAAAAGAATGAAAATAATTAAGAAGTTTTTTCGTTTTTATACATGTAAAATTTCCATTAATTGGTTTATTAAAATCAACTATTTCAACATGAGATGAAATATTATATGAAATACTCGCTGATTTTTTATTCAATATTGCAGATGAATTATAACTTGATTCATAAGTAATTTTTTTGTTACTTGTCAAATGTCCAATTAAAATACCCACAATTAAAACAATAAGTAATATGAAAATGAATTTGTTATTCATTAATAACAATATGAACGTTGAGTTTCGATTTTTGGTATAGAATTGTAGAAAGACAGGATATTAATGTATCAGTTACTATCTAAAGTAAATAACATAGCCTTAATTAAATGAATAGAATCGAACTAATAATGTATTTCTATGGGAAAAATTTCTCATTCTGCTTTAGGACATTTTTTAATATAAAACAAAATATTCTCATTAGTTGTAGTAGTACAAGTGGTACTTAAATAAAAAGCTTTCCTTAAAACTATACTATGTTTGTTTACAATTTTTGGTTCCTTTCCTTCCGGAAAATTGAAAGGATGTCAGCATAAAATGTAAGAGACACGCAATAAATATAATAATATCATATTTACTAACATCCGGCACAAAAAACGATTTATAATTATGTATCTATTGTTTTAAATAAATACCTTGCGAAGTTCATATGTTATTTAATTGTTCAAAACAAATCTATTCAAGATTGATTGAATACTTATTGTCCAGATGTTCTAGGTTAAGAAAGAAAGTATTTACAAGAAATTGTCCTAAACTACTCATTTGATTTTTAATAATTTAATACTTCCGTATAAAATCTAAAAGTGAGATTCGGACATTACATATACATCCACACTGCTATATATAAAAAAATATATCTCGGAGAGATTCTCTTCATTACAACGGAGCTTTTATTAATAATAGTCTCGTAAAAATTTCTATATATCCAATTCAGTATATTTTTTCCTGGAATAGTATAATAACTCAGACCCGTAGAATTCCGTAAAAACTGATCTAAACCTTAAAAATAACGACTTTTGTAATTATATTTATTTGAACAGACAAATTTTTCATCTCTTTAGAACTTTTCTTACCATATTTTTGGAAAGTATCAGACTTACGGAAGGTCATTGGTTGTATCACATTGTAGAATATGGCATAAGATAAGACTAGATAAGAGTTTCGTTCGCTTTCTTTCTGACAAGTATTTTTCACTACCGTTTCTTTTTGTCATTTATGTCTTGGGTACTTTCCAATCTAATCTGTTTATTGTATGCTATATAAAGATGTATGGAAGTTGCGATGAAAGGATGGGTTTTCAAGTTACTTTATAACATCAATATGTAAGCGACTCAACATAATTTCTTGCTAACAGAACACATCAAAATGTTATGGAAAAAAATTTCTATACCGCTCTTCTAAGATAAGCGTTGTCATTTTCAACATTTTTGAAGAAATTTTATGTAATGTTTTAAAAATAGAGGTAAAAGAGTTCAAATAGAACTGATGATGAAAATATTTCCATGTATCGTTAATAGTGTTATCTACATCGACTTACTTTGAAATTTTCCCACATATTTTTTACAAAATAATTCCTCACATGATTTTTAGTAAATAAATTGCCTTTAAATATTAACTGAAGTAGCAAACATAATCTCATATGACTTCTGATACTAGAACCAAACCTTTCAAGAGTTAATTTGCTTTTCGAACAGAATCCTAAGAAATATGTCAATATGACATACAATATTATGTAGACGGTGGCGTTATTTTCATAAATCATCAGAATTATTAAATATTGATAGAGCTTTTATGAAGAAAAATATATTTCCAAAAAACGGCAACGTATCATTGATATCTTAATCTTAGCGTGAGAAAGTAAGCTCTTTCACCTACGGCTCTCTTTCTAGAACATCAAATTCTATGAAATACCACGACATTTTCCATGGAATGCTACCTATAGCAGTAAATAATAAATCCTACTAAATGTTTTTCGACTAGTTTCAGAACGAAAATCATGAACCGAGTAATAGCTCTCAAATAGAAATCTTATATCCATATTAAAAGAAGTAAAATACTTTTGAACAACAGTAGTAGTCATTCCTTCCATTCATTAAAACTATTAAAAATATGCTATATAAGAAAAAGATAAATGCTCTTATTATTTCTCTCCTGACAAGTAGTTAAATTATTCATGATCATAAACATCATAAGTGATATATATCTAGTTTTTTCATTCTCTCGATTCACTTCTGCTTACTGTACATAATTTTATATAGAAGGAAGTATTTCTCCATCGACTGGTCTTGTTCTTCACTATTGACAAATTTGCTAATATATTATAGAAATCTATGAAAATATCTTTTATGTATTTAACTAACAATTGACGATGGGAAAAAAGACATAAATTTTGAAAATTCTCCTAGAACTATTATTTTAATTCCTATTTAAAAAAGAACAGCTAGCGATATATCAATGACTACTAAAGCAGATTATTTTTACTCGTAACACATATGAAGTGATTCGATTTGCTTAGGAAATAGTTTTAATAGATTTATTCTCATGTATATTTACCATTTATTAAATGCACTTACTAGTCTCTTTAGTATGTAATGTCAATTCTTGTGCTTTTTTCTGTTTGCATAAATACATAGATGATCCTCTTTCACATCAAACAGAATAATTACTCAAGTTTATTCACTTCTCATATGTATTGCACAGCAGGAATAAAATAAATGAAATAGAGCTTCGATTTTTTTTCTGTAGCGCTCTTTTCTCGTTAATGTGTCAAGACAATGACATTTTGTGATATTCTATATAGCGCTTCAAGCAGGTGAGAAGGACGATAATGATAATTAACTGAGTGATGCTACTCGTTGAGATGATGATTTTGTTACAATATACTTTAGATCTTCAAGCTTCGATAAAAAAATTTACAATGAAAATTGTGCCAAATGCTGTATGATTATTTTACTATTTAGTCAAATTCTTGTGTAATTTTAAATAAACCATTCAAGAAATTAACATCCGGCCCACGACAAAAATCAACAAAACGTTCGAGGCGCAAATTCATTGATCACACGTTAAAAGAAAAAGAAACACCCATGCGTAACTTTTCAAGGATACTGCATTGGTTGTCGTAGAATTGCAGGAAACAACTATAAAAAGACTCAAAAGTCATACGGTAAAATAGAAAATAAAAATCTTTCTATTTTATCTGCAACGGATGCATTCCTATTACCTCAGTTACTATAGTGAGAAGCATCACGGTATGAAATAATTAATCCGAACAACAAGACAGACTAGATGGCACATTATATGCGACCTTGTACATAAAAAACAGAATAAAAACAAAAACGTGTTTTTTTACTAAGTTCACTACTGAGATACTGTGGATTGAATCATTACGCATGCGTTATGAAATATTAAATCATTAATTTAAAGTGAATACAAGTCACCTCTTATTTTATGACTGCATTTATATATAAAATACATTAGAACAAGTGTAAAATGGTATATAATTGACTGTCTTATACGAATGGAAGTAGAGAATATATTTAATTTGTATACTGGCAAGCTAGATGATTTATTTAGATATGTGATAAATATCTTTACATATGCTTGATATATCTTGTGTGACTGAGATTTTACTCGTAAAGCGAAGCACTAAAGAATTCACTGTTTATTAACGTAGGAATAATAAATATGTGAATTTATATTGAAAAAAATCTCCTAGTTCAGATGTATATTCAACTACAAAAATCGAAACTTTATCTTACCTAAACCATCGACTATTTCATATGAGATATTTCAAAGAATACTTCTTTGCTTTTCGTGCTATAACGTATCCATGTATCGATGAAATTTTCTTCTAATTATACAAAACAAACTGTCTATTCTTTTGTTGCCATGATGTAATATATTCTATTTAGAATTCAATAAAAGAATCTCTATACAGTAAACATTCATATAACGATAATGACGTATAAAACAAAAAACAAAAAAAGACTTATTCTATATACATTATACAATAATTTATACTGAAGTGAGTTGGTATGAAAATATCCAGTAATTCGAAAGAAATTGATATTAAACTTACTAAAAAGAACATTACGTATAATACTTGCCTGATCACGTATTTTTCTAGGCTATTGAAGGTTTTTTGTTTATCATTATTTTAGATGGTGATTTAAATTCAACAAAAACTATTGAATGAGAATAAAAGAGTACTGACATGTCTTGTTTTTTTTCTCTCTCCTTCTTTCTTTTCGTTCTCGACAAAACATTCTGAGTTTAGATTTAAAAAATCTCTAATGTTTACTCTGTCATGGTTTCTATCGAAAAAAGGCTTTGTGATTATATATTACACTACTTCTTTTTCATTCCTACGAACGTGATTGGTAAAGGAGGACTTCTCATTTCTTCTAAAAAAAGGAGGATCTGACGGTATATACTTCAAAGCAGTTCAAAGAGTGTGACTTTTCGACGAAAGGAAAACTAACTTGATAAAAAATAATTGATTGTCTTCATTTTATCAAACTTTTCCAGTTATAAAACTAAAATATAATACACTCATTTCAAGGCAATAAAAATAATTTCATGAATATCTAATGTGTCAACTTCAAGAATGATAATATAAAAAGTTGAATGAATAGAATTTTTTTATATATAATGATATAAAGATATGAATTAAATAAAATTTAATTATTTATGTTTGAAATTGATGAAAATACGTATTAAAAATTTGATTGAATAATTTATTATCTCGTAAACTATTGTAATGAACACATTGTTTAATATATATTGATTTTGAATGTCATCTTTATTTCCACTATAGTGAGTCAAATATTTCTTGTATGATTTCACTGATTTTCTTTCAAAACAGACGAATAAATTCAAGGGTAAACCTTAGTAACAGACGGAATAAAAATGCTACCTTCAAATATAACATATTTCCTTACAATATTGAATGAGTATAGTTTTTGTATACTTATTATTCATCATACAAATATCATATAAGATAGCAGTTCGAACAGAATGAATTATAACTCATTTAGGACTAGATGCAATATTAAAAATGAGAATGAAATAAGATCATACACCTATCTGTAAGTGTTCCTTCCTTGATAACTAAATTTCATTGAAATAAAATTAGATTACAATACGATGATAAATCATGAAAGAAATAACTTTAAATTTCTATCTTTTCACATAAAACATCTTCTAAATTATAAAAAAAAACTAAAACTTAAATTCGATAATTCAATTTATTTGAGAACAATAACAACAGTATCAATGACGGTAAGAATTATTGATAGCATCATGCACATATTCAAAAGATCTCATAGAATTTAAAGAAAAATACTATCATAGACTAGATGTAAGTTACATTCTTGTTTTATTTGACTACACATAATTGTTTGACATAATGATGATTCTTCATATAAATCAATACATTGTAAATGATTTCGATATTTATTTAAATCAAGATAAAAAACGATTTTCCGATGGGATATATAATATACCATCCGATATTCGAGATGCACTATTGCTTGATGACAAAGTTATTTCAATAATTAAATTTAATAAAATAACTAATATAAAATATTTAGTCTAATACAAATCATCTTAGTTTTCTTTTTCTTACCATTATCATTTTCAAAATCTATTCCTTACATTATTCATATTTGACTGTCTCTATATAGTTCATCAAATAATTGTGATAACATCTTGTTTTTCGATTTTATATAAATGTAAGAAAAAAAACAAATTTTTTAAAAATCTACGGCACACAAAGCAAGAAGAAGAAGAAAATGTAGCTCTATGTTATATAAATTCATAAAGACAAAAAAAAGCCAATGTCGAGAATGACAAATTATTTCTTCTTTGTTTAACTAGCGCACAAATGACTATTCAAATTTCTTAATGTTCTTCAATATGAACACATTAAATATGACTCTATTATTGTTTGAAATTTAAAGATTTTCTGCTCTTGATGATGTAGCAAACAAAAAAGTTACTGCTGTAACAATAAAAGTTAATATTGTTGCAATTATTTCATAAATAGTCGCTCGTCCAATTATTGTATGATAATGTGTGTTGGCATCTTCGCGTAATTCTTCTTCAGCCTTTTTATATTGTTCACGACTGAAAGTTTCTTCTAGAAATAAAAATAAAAATAATTTAAAATAAAAGCTATTTCTTATTCTTTTTATTTTACCATAATATTTAGCATAATTACGAAGACTATGTAAATCAAAAGCTTGAATTCCTTGAGTATCACCTGTTAAATTTCTTATCGGAAATGAAAAATCTTCATATGTATCACGTCGAAGAACTTTATAAAACTAAAAATTTATTTATATTTTAATATTTTTCACAACTTACATGCTCGAAACAGGATCAATCCTATTACTAATAAAACGAATGCTGCTAAAAAACAAACAAATGGTGCATAACGTACTAAAAGTATTGCACTTTCTAAAAAATATCAAAATTAAATAAAATTACGTAGGTTTTTATTTATAATTGAAATCTACAAACCATTTTGTGGTTGTGCTATATTATTTAAATAAAGTAATAACAAGCCAATAATAAGAAATACAGCTGCTGAAACTGTTAACCATTGTAAAGCTTTAGTTGATGGTAGATAGCGACATGAACACCCTTCAGGTATTTGATCGACTTGAAGAACTGGACAATATCGACGAATGTTATAACATAAATTAAATTCATTTGGTGTATATCTCATATATAGATTTGGTCGACATATTTGAACATTTGGTTGAACACCAAGTGCTAAACCTTGTTTTATTATTGTCAGATTTGAATATTCACATCTTTGCCAAAGACCATAACTAACTGGACTCATTACCGGTTCGACATCTCGCTTTGTTATTTTCCAATGTGGTGAACATCTATAGAATTTTATTAATATAATTTATATAAATTGTTCTTCAAATTAAACTTACAAAGCCAATAAATGCAAAATCAATGCAGCAATGCCCAGAAAGAAAGCTATAGTAACAAGTGTAACACTTCGAATTTGCATGATCTATTTAGTAAAAGAAAAAGAAAACAGAATATTTTGAAATTCATTATTCTTTCTACATATGTGTTTGATTGAAATTGAATCTATATGTCCTTCTAAATTACTTGAATTCTAGAGGTTGAATTACTTATATATACGCGTGCTCGATCGTGTTGATACCCCAAGATATATATATACTCGTTTTATCTCAATCGTTTACTAAAAACACGTGGAATTTTTATCAGATATCGTACATATATAGGACTAATGATCTGTTATTGTTCGAGGTGTACATGTCACTAGAAAAAAAGTGTTTGAAATATATATATATATCTTAGGGTATTAACACGACAGAGCACGCCCATATGATTTATCGGATTGATGACAGAAAAAGAAACATTAGACGATTTTTTAGTTGATAAGATGCACGCAAATCAAAAATACAGTGAAAAAATTCGTTCTTTATATATCATAGACCATTCGATAGTAGAGCCTGTCGGGTCCACAGTTTTTTTGGATCCGAAGCCATGTCCGGCTCCAAGTCGGACCCGATTCTGATGAGCAATAGCCTGAACTCGAACTGTACTTTTAGACTCTCAGTAAATTTTCTACTTGAAATCTAATAGTTGCTTCGAAAATTGTTTTGTTGTTGTTTTTCTATTATTTTTATAAATAAATTCAGGACTTTTTGAATGAAATGAATAAAAATTAAAAAAAAATATTATGTTGATAACATATTTCTTTCGATACCCGGACCCGATGGGCTCTATTCGATATAGAATTTCAAGGCGATTAATAATATATGTGCCTTACATTTTCTCACGAGTCTTTTCCTATTGAAAAAATCCAGAAGGTATCAAAAACAAATAATTTGACAACTTTTCTTAAATTTCTCTTTTGTTTTTAATATGTTATGACAAAAAACCTTTTAGCTTAGTTTTTCTGATTCATCATATGAAAACGAATAAGAAACTGGTTTGAAACCGTTTTTAGAACAAAGTGTTGGATCACAAAATAATTTCTCAAAACCTGTACTCAAAGATCGAAACTTAATTTTGCAAGTCTATCACAGGTTTTTTTGTCATAACCTATTAAAAAAAACGAGGAACCTAAGAAAAGTTGTCAAACTATTTGTTTTCGATAACTTTCGGGTTTTTTTCAACAGGAAAAAACTCAGAAGAAAATTTAGGGCATATATATTATCGAGCTGATTATTTTAAATAGAAATAAATAATTAAGATTAATTAAAAGAATATTATTATGATAAATGTCAATATGGAGTGTTTCTCTATGACTATTGTCGAATGTGTCTTATGTCAGCATATGTTTTTCAAGTATAATTTTGTATATGTCTAGTATTTATTGCATTTACTTCTGACCTTTTTGACTAATAATAATCAAAAGTGATTCAATGACTATTCTATTCTTTTACAAATATTATTCAATTTCTTTTTGTTAAATAATTATTATTTATATTCTTGTTTGACTAGTTTTATTTCTTGCAAATAATTTACAATTTATGAAACAAATGCTTTTAGAATAAATTTAGACTTTGCAAATCCCTAAACATTTTCATAGACTGATGACATACAATAAATTATTAATTAACAATTAAACGACAGAAACTGACAAAAAAATAGTCATTTTCATACAGATGAAATTAAATATTCTTATAAAATTGAAATGCTTCATCATTTATTATAATTACATATCATGATAGTGCAAAAATAAAACAAAATCCGTTAGGCGTTATGCCGTCATTATCAACAACAGACTCATTTGTCAATCATTCATGTATGATAAATAATAATATTTCTTCGTGTTAATAAGAAAATATTTTCAATTGTACAAGTCTGTTCTCTTCTTCTTTTTTTTCGAGAAATAGACAAAGTTATACGCAATTCATTGCACTAATTCGAAATATATTGATTCTAATTAGTTTGTTGACCTTCGTGAATCTTGAGTTTTAATTATCAATATCATATGAATAATATAATTGACTTCAACAATAGTAAGGAAAAAAAACAAACGAATTGTCAATCAATTATGACATAGAAGGATAATATTACAAAAAAATGTATTAACGATAACAGTTAGTTCTATATATTTTGTATGTCGGGAGAAGATTGATTACAAATAAGACACTTGTCTATTTTGTGCTATGAAGTATCTGTAGATTGACATTCATAAAGGAAACAATGCTTACAAATAATTTGTCACAATATAAAAGACAAAAATATCCTTGTGTAAAGATAGTCTGAAATAAATTTCTCAGAATACGTACATAAGAAACATTCTTTTTTTAGAATTCGATAAAAACAAATATATATTATTTTTCCGGCTTCTATAAATAAACTATAGGATGTTGACTCAAAACTTATTTAGTAACATTAATATGAAGTCTTTGATATACTCTATGGGTAAGAACTTCTATAGAAAAGTGTACCTAATCGAAAGATTCTGTTTATCGAACTGAAGAAAGGTCTGTTATCTATCCAGTCATAGAAAAACTATCAGTTATCTCAAGCTAATATACCGTTTGCTTATAGAATTCTGTTTTATCTATTAAAGGCAAAGGCTAATATACGCGTAATTTCGATCTTTGTAAATTAAAAATTTTTTTTGAAACAATATTTTCTACATAGAAAAGAGTGTTCTTCATAGAAAGATTTTCATTACAATCTAAAAAGTAACAAACTAGTGCCATCTATCGTCCAATTAAATACAAAAAATAATTTCTTTGGAGAATATTATAAAGTGATTTTTCTGATGAAATATTTTTGAAATTAATTTCGAATTAAATTTGTTTTTATCATTTATTTATTATATCGATTCTATAACTAAACACCTGTGTATGTCATTCGAGAGGTGCAGATTCATATACTCAAAATGGCTGATGCTTGTACAATAAGCATGTATATATGTTTTCATCATTGACGAACAATATATAAGAAAAAAAAAATTTTTTTTTTCGAAGATTATTTACGTTTTTTCTACAAAATTAATTTCTTTTGATCGATTTTTTTTCTAGATTATGATATGTTTTATCAAATGGGATAACTATATATTCATTACGTATATATCCCATTTATGTTAAAAAATAATCCATGACTTGGTGAACAGTGAAGCTTACTGGAAGATTTTAATTCAAGAAGAAGACGAAGAATAAGAAAAAACAACATTAGATATTCAAGTGTATAACATAAAATTAAAAAAAAGAAATTTTTCTTTAAATTAAAATGTCAACACCAACTCAATATCCTCGAACGAATATTGTTAAGCTCAATCCACCATCAACAACAAGAGACAATACTGGTGCTGATGGAGTAAGTTTTTATTCAAAAGAGATTTTTATCAAATATTACATAGAATATGTCCATCAATTAGTATCGATAATATTTTTTTTTTCTTAGCTCTTATTATATATGATGTAATATCTTACGATCGATCATTCTTTTACATGTATATATATACGCTGTCATACATTCGCTTCTTTTTTTTTCCTTGTTCATGCAATGAATGACATTTGTCATCGAATAGTTCACATTTTGAATTATTTTTCAACATTATGACTAGTTCAGTGCCATTTTATATAGATCAGTAAATCGTTCATTACTTATTTGTGTCTTATAGTCTGACCGTTTAAGTGTTTCGTTTATGCATGTGTACATAAAGAACATGAGAAAAAAAAGTGGAAAGAGAGGGGAAAGAAAGAACGTATGCAAAAGAAGAAAAGAAAGGGACAACTACACCTACTCCAAATTCAATGTATGTATATATATATATATATATGTATATGTTCGTCAACCTATTATTCGTAATTGACAAAAGAAAAGAAGAAGCGAAAAAAAAAGATCGTTTTTTTTGATGTTATTGTGTTCGATTTATTGATATACGCAAAAAGAAATGATTGTATACTGGGAAACATACTATTCTTTTTCTTGTTCTTTAAATATTTTGTTGTTACATTGAAATGTCAATAATGTTGACAATACAATATTAAATAGGGAAAAGAAAAAAAAAGAGTAGCATGAAAAAATACGAAAGGACAAAAAGAACGACATAATGAGAAATAAATTTACGTGAACGTGAATGATTCTCTCTTATATTTAACATAGATGTAATAATTGTAACACTTGCAAGTATGTGAAATATGTGACACTTCTTCTTTCTTTTACAGAAATCTACAAATAACGATCATCATCATCATCATCATCAAAACAATAATCATAACAATAATAATAACAATATAACATCATCGACTGGAGCTGCGCCATCTTCTTCATCGACACGATTACAATCAAGTAAAATGCGTGATCCAAATGAACCACATATTGGCAAATATCGATTTGTCAAGGTACATTATCTTATTATCTCTGTAGAATTAAATATAATTTTCTTGTCAATTTAGACAATTGGTAAAGGTAATTTTGCCAAAGTTAAATTAGCTAAACATCTGCCAACTGGTAAAGAAGTTGCTATAAAAATAATCGATAAAGCTCAACTTAATCCAACTTCATTGCAGAAGGTTTATATTTAATTTATTCTATGCGAAGAAACAATATATTTTTATTTAGCTATTTCGTGAAGTCAAAATAATGAAAGGACTTGATCATCCAAATATTGGTAATTGAAATCAAAAAAATAATAAATTATTTTTTTTAATAAATTATTTTTTTTAGTTAAACTTTTTGAAGTAATCGAAACTGAAAAAACTCTTTATCTTGTTATGGAATATGCAAGTGGAGGTCTGTATGAATATAAATATAGATGAATTGAATTATTTTATTTGTTTATTTAGGTGAAGTATTCGATTATCTTGTTGCACATGGACGTATGAAAGAAAAAGAAGCTAGATCAAAATTTCGACAGGTATGTCAAGATAATCAATGAGCAGAGTTGTCATATCTTTAAATGACGTCTGATACGTATCTTTTTTTGATTTCTATGGTTTCTATAGCACTAGTGAAGACCTAGTGATATAGAATATAAGAAAAATTCATATGACATAAAGATTTCTTTAATTAAAATCAGAAGCATTGAAAATGGCTTAATATACTTCTAAATCATTTTTCAATGTAAAAAATGTTCCTCTCATATACTTTAGATTGTATCTGCTGTTCAATATCTTCATCAAAAACATATTGTACATCGTGATCTTAAAGTAAAATTTTCCTATTCAATTATAAAGAACATTCTTGTATATCTTCTTTCTGTTTTTTTTCTAGGCAGAAAATTTATTGCTTGATTCAGAGTTAAATATCAAGATAGCTGATTTTGGTTTTAGTAATGAATTTACACCAGGAAATAAATTAGATACATTTTGTGGTAGTCCACCATATGCAGCACCAGAATTATTTCAAGGAAAAAAATATGATGGACCAGAAGTTGATGTTTGGAGTTTAGGTGTTATTCTATATACACTTGTTAGTGGTTCATTACCATTTGATGGACAAAATCTCAAAGTAAAAAAATTTAGATGATTTTTATTGATTGTTTTTTATATTAATAACTATTTTAAGGAATTACGTGAACGTGTATTACGTGGAAAATATCGAATACCATTTTATATGTCAACGGATTGTGAAACATTATTAAAGAAATTTCTTGTTTTAAATCCAACACGACGAGCTGCTCTTGAAGTATGATTTCATTAAAAACAAAAACTAATTGAATATATTAATAAGTTTTCCGTTTTTTTTATCTTAGTCAATTATGAAAGATAAATGGATAAATATTAATTATGAGAATGATGAATTAAAACCATATGAAGAACCAAGTCAAGATTTTAGTGATAATTTTCGAATAGAATCAATTATACGAGATGGTGCCTATAGTCGAGATCAAATACTTGATTCCTTAACTACACGTAAATATGATGATATTATGGCTTATTATCTACTTCTTGCCATGCGAACAAATGAAGTAAAAACTAAAATGATTTTTTCTTATTTTGATAACACTTTTTTTTTTATTAATTTCAGAACGATATGTCTGATGCTCAATTAGCTACAACAACAAATAATAATAATAAAGGTGTTTCAGACGCATCCAATACTCCTTCATCATTAGCACCTAAAATCGTATCCGCAAGTACACGACCATCAACAGCAAATGATAAAGAAAATCTTCCATCTATTGATAAACAACATCGACCAATGACAGCAGCATTACCACCATCCGTTAATGAACATACACTAATTAATGGCACTACACCAATGATAACAACAACAAATGGTGTTAATAATTCATTATTAACGTCATCAAGTATTGATGCATCAACTGCTAATAATGGTCAACATTTATTATTAAAAACGAGTGCGAGTGGTGGTCCACCAGGAGCATCAATGATTGCATCAAATTCAGTATCAAATCGTACGAATGCAGTCGATAAACTTCGTTCACAAACAGTACGTTTACCTGGTGCAGGTGTTCGACGTCGAGAAACTATTGATCCTGTTCCAGGTGGTGCATCAATGAGAAAAGTTGATATGGCTGAAAAATGTAAAACACCAACTGGAGATACGTAAGTATTATTTCTCAAAATTCTTCTTTTAATTATTATTTGCATGTTTGTTGTGATTGTATTGCTTTTGCTTAGTGCATTCTTTGAAAGTCGGATACCCCGTTTACCTCAAGGGTTTGTTTCTTCTCTTGACAAAAAAATCAAACAAAATATCCCCTTGGATTTGTCTAGTTTTAATCGTAGTGGTATTGAACCATCACCATCACCATCATCTACATCTTCTCAAGTACCACATCATATGATGCGTTCATCAGTACGTGAAAATCCTAAATCAGCAAGTTTATCAGCACAACAACAACAGCAACAACAACAACCGCTACAAACACCAAAAGCTCAAGAAAAACTCAAGTGTGTATTTAATTCATGCCTAGTTCAGAATATCATAAACTTTTTCTTTTTATCGATCGTATAATAAGTTAAGAATGTGTTTTAAAAAATTTTCTTTCAAAATATCAGACATAGAAAAACATCAGCAGGTGTACCATCATCGTCAAATAGCAATACAGGTTCGATTCGAATTTATTCGAGTCAACATCAACCATCTACAATCAAGTAAGAATCATCAATCAAAACAACAAGCCATCAATATGACTATATAAAGATTGAGACAAAGAGAGTTTTCTTTCTTTTTTCTTCTTCTCTTACTTACTTTACTCACACCCCAAAAAAAACTAACATTCGCCATATTGCACGAATGCTGCTATTGCTTGTTTTTATTTGTGTTTCTGTGTTTGATACTCACGACGTGTTTTTTTTGCTCATTAATAATTTGGTTTTTCTATCTTTTTTTTTCTTTCTATGTTATTGTAGTCCTTTATTGGTGCAAGCTTCAACTACTACCAATTCTGCTGCTACTACTGCACCCACTCAGCTACCACTTAATCCAACCAACACGCCATTTGCATCTTCCACTAACACACGTGCCGGGAGTGGTGGCGATGGTGCTATGTTAAATCGCTCTGCGCCTGATCGTAAAACTATACATAGTACATTTCCTTCACGGCAACACCAAGCATCAACACCAACTACTGATTATCGAGCATCAACAAGAAATCCAAATAGTAGTACAATGGGTTTTAGTGATGCCAATAATCGTCATCAGCAACAAGCTGGTGGTGCTTCGAGCATGATTGGAGGGACAGGAAGTGGGGCTCAATCGTTTTTAAGCAAGCTTTCATCTAAATTTGCACGAAGGTAACATAACTGACCTAAAAACACTGCACGTATTACTAAACACAAAAAAAAACTTAACTAACACTTATAAAAGAAAGAAAACATCGATCTCTCTTAATCTTTGTCTAGATGGTTGATTTTTTTTTTGAAATTTTTTCTTCTTCTTCAATTTTCTTTTCTATTTATTTGATGTTCTTCTTATCATCATTATCTAGAAAATCTATTCGAGAATCTGGTATATCATCAACAACAACTGGTGGTGGTGCTATTGGAAATAATATGTTAACAATGGGTGGAAGTATGGCAAGTGCGTCATCATCTTATCGTCGACCAGCAGATCTTAATACTGCAAATATAACAACAACTGCAGGAATTACAACGAATGATAATCTTGCTACAGGTAGTGCTATTGGAGATATAAAACCACGTTCACTTCGTTTTACATGGTCTATGAAAACGACTAGTTCAATGGATCCTGCTGATATGATGAAAGAAATTCGAAAAGTAATATTTTAATTTGACGATATAATAGAAAATAGAAGTCAATTATATTATATATATTTAAGGTTCTCGATATAAATAATTGTGATTATGAACAACGAGAAAAATTTCTTTTACTCTGTGTACATGGAGATCCAAATACGGATTCAGTTGTATCATGGGAAATGGAAGTATGCAAATTACCACGTCTATCATTAAATGGTGTTCGATTTAAACGTATATCAGGCACATCAATTGGGTTCAAAAATATCGCGAGTAAAATCGCTAATGAACTTAAATTGTGATTTTCTTTTCTTTTCTAAACTTTTTCTTCTTTTTTCATTTTTCTTGTCTTTTGTGTATGTTCATTGTCATGTGTCTTCTTTTTTTAGTGATTGTATCTCGCATGTGTTTATGTTCGTTTTTCTTTCCTCAAATGAATCAAATAACTAAATACACATTACATTTGTATGTGTGTTATGGATGTGAGTCACAAACTAGGATCTCTCTTTTTTTCTCGATGCTGTGCTGCTGCTCATGCCTATAAGGCATTTATTTTCTGTTTTTTTTTGCGTGCGAAATTCATCCATGAGAATCGGCTCTTATAAATAATTTTTTTTTCTTATGTTTTTTCTTCTTCCTGTGCACACATGTAGATCTTAGGGTATCAGCGTCTTTATCTCTCTCAAAACTATGGATGAACGTTGCTTTTCTCATTTTGTTTTGCACACACGAATATATATTGAAATAATTTTCGCGTAATTTATTCTTCTTGACTTGACACGTTTTATATCGCCTGAAATAACAGTGTGTGCTCTCTCTCTCTCTATATTCTCTTTGTAACTAAAGTGAAAATGTTTTTTTTTCTCTACCTCTGTGTTTGTTGGTTTTTCTTTTCTTTTTTCTCTTTCTTGCACATTCTATATTCATATTGTCTTTTGTTTCGGTTTTCTTTGCTACTGCGCGCTATATCTCTTCTCATTTTGAAATCATACCTTATAATTATATTGTCATAAACGTGCACACATAGATGACATGCAATTTGTTAAATTTTCTTGTGCATGTATTCAGTTTTTCTCCCCTATGATGTTCTTGCTTTTTCCTTATTTACTTCTCACGCTTCGTTTTTCTAGATATGTTCGATTCCACTGTGTGTGTGTTCTTTTGGTGTTTATCGTTCATATCTTCTTTTTCTTTTTCTCACTCCTCGTTTTCTTTTTTGCTGTGTGCGCGCGCGCTGTCTCGAAGAATATACATACATTAAATTCAGCATTCAGATGAATATGTACGAAAGATAATCTCAACATGAAAAAACAAACACACATTCGTTTTTATTAATTGTTAACCAATATTTCTAGGAGTATATTATCATAGAGTTCATACAAGCTATAAATTGATTCTGTAATTGAACTTCGAATGAAAATATTGAACAATAGGAATAATTTATGACTGAGTTATAAATTGTATTAATAAATATATTGTCATTGATCCAGGGCTGACAAGTCAGTAGAGTTAATGGAATCAATAGAACAAGTTCGGACTCTCACAGTTATTATCTAAACAAATAAATCTGATATCTCAAACTGATGCCATTGACTAAAATACTTTAGTACCAACTTTGTCTGTTTAGGGTATAAACACATTGATTTCGAATGTCTACAAATGATTAATGCATAACAAGTGATTTTATCAATTTTATTTAGTATTAACGTATTCGAAATGCTATAACTTTTCAATAGATTATGGCAAGAGCTCAGTATTTTCACTGCATTTACGATTAATGAAGGTGCTTTGTTTTTATTGATGTTAAGATAATATAATTGGCTTTAAGAGAGCAAATTGTCATTCTGTAGTTTTCTATGCGGTACAACGACATTCATATTGTAAATGTAATATTAACTGATTAAATATTCATAAAGTGAAAAAGTCTTGCACACCATATGTTAGTCTTGTCTTTCTCTATTCATTTGGAGCTATTTTTAATAGCTTAACATGATATGTACTAATGTTTTCTCTTATCAATAAATACTTTAAACATTGTTTTATTATCTATAGAAAAAAATGTAGAACGAAATATTTAATGTTTCTTTTATTATAATCAATTAAGATCAATAAAATTAACTACCTTGTATATATATCATTATCAGCTGATCCAGAGTAAAACACGAGGATAATAGTATATTTTGATTATATGCATATATGGAAAAACACGCGGGAAAATTGGAATACTATATATCACACAAGGCACACGTCACTAAGTTCGTATTTTGTTTTCTTATAATATATGGATTCATATGTTCGATCACACCATTCTTTCTTCTTATGCTTAATCACAATGTTATATACGTCCTTAATGTAACGGTGAGTGACTGATCGTGTGTCTATATTTCATCGATGTTATATAGTAATAGACAAAATTATTCTAAAGATCTCATTTATTTATTAATATGATTTTTGATTCTACACATCGATAATCATTATTTGACTTAAAATACAATTAAATATAGATGAGAATATTACTTTCCGTCGTATACAAAAATATACTAATTATTAAACTGTTATTATTTTCCTGTTATCTTTTACTATGAAAAAATAAACTATTGTTCATATTGTTGTTCTTTGTTTTATTAGTTACGTCTCTGTTAATTGACTAAATTCAGATTTTTTGTAATAATGGCACCTGAAGCAAATGGTAAAAATAGATCCACATCTGTGGATATACCAGAACAGGCTGTTAAGAATTTAACAGTCGAAGAAATGTATGATAAAGAAAAATATGATTTATCAACAATGAAAGAAGGTGATGTATTTAAAATGCTTGAGTATGTTTATTTAGTTTCATTTTTAATTTATAATTGAATCATTTATTTTAGTACAACACGTGATGGTCTTAAAGATGATCAAATTAATGAACGTCTTGAAAAAGTAAATATAAGAAGATTTTTTTATTCGAAAAATCATTAAGATTTGTTATTTTTCAGTTTGGACATAATCGTCTTGATCAAAAAACTCAAAGTCCAATTATTCAATTTCTTCTCTTTATGTGGAATCCACTTTCGTGGGTTATGGAAGCAGCAGCTATAGTTGCTATTGCTGTATCTAATGGTGGCGGACGAGAACCAGACTGGGAAGATTTCGTTGGAATTATTCTTCTTCTTCTTGTAAATTCAATTATTGGTTTTATTGAACAACGAAATGCTGGAAATGCTGTTAAAGAACTTATGAAATCATTAGCACCTGAAGCTAAAGTTAAACGTAATGGTCAATGGAAAACTATTGATGCATCTGAACTTGTTCCAGGAGATATTATTGGTGTTAAATTAGGCGATATTGTACCTGCTGATGGTCGACTAATTGGTAAATAATTTTATTAAAACTAAAACTAAAACATAAGATTATTTTAATTAGTTGCACAAGGTGAAGTTTCGATGGATCAGGCAGCATTAACTGGTGAATCACTTCCTACAACTAAATCAGTGGGTGATGAAATCTTCTCTGGTTCAACTTGTAAACAAGGCGAAGCAGAAGCAGTTGGTTAGTATTTATACTTTTTATTCGTTATTTATTTTATGCAATAATGCTACTCGTATAATGTGTATACTGCAGTAAAATTTATGTGTCTATTAAATTATAATACATATCAAAACTGAGCCTTCATTAATCTATCTATCGATACTTAAGGATTCTGGAAGACTAGTAGAGATTTTTAATTCTATAGAAAAATATGATACTATCAAATTAAGAATAGTTTAAGCTTTTCTAACTTTGTGTTTTTGACTTACTTCAAAAGTCACTAGATGATACTATATTTTGAAAATGAATAATCTATTTAAATTTATTTTCAGTTATTGGCACTGGTCTGAATACATTTTTTGGTCGAGCAGCTAAATTAGTTGGTGGTGCCCATGATGAAATAGGTCATTTACAAACTATCCTTGCTAAAATTGGCAATTTCTGTATTATTGCTATTGCAATCTTTATCATTGCAGAGATATTTGTTATGTAGTATGTATTTATAAATTTCTTTTTTATATTATTTCTTTGAATCGTTTTCTTTAGTGTCGGATTTCATTATGAATATCGTCGTGGTATAAATAATATACTTGTACTTTTAATTGGTGGTATACCTATTGCTATGCCAACAGTTTTATCCGTAACATTAGCTATTGGTGCTAAGCAATTATCTGAACATAAAGCAATTGTAACACATGTTACTGCTATTGAAGAACTTGCTGCTGTAACTATTTTATGTTCAGATAAAACTGGTACATTAACATTAAATAAACTTGTTATTGATAAAGAATCTATAAAGAAATATTCTGATATCGAAAGTGATGGTATTATTTATCATGCAGCTATCGCATCAAGAATAGATCATCCTGATGCAATGTAAATTAAATCGAATAAATGAAATTTTAATTTAATTTTGTTTTGCGTTTTTTTTTTAGTGATGCTTGTGTTATGTCAACATACGGTGATAAGAATAAAATACGTGAAGGAATTGAAGAATTAAATTTTAAACCGTAAGAATATAAAAACTTGAATTTTTTTTTAATGTTATATTGTTTCTTAATAGATTTAATCCAACTGATAAACGTACTGAAATAACATATAAACAAACAAAAGATGGAAGTGTACATCGTATTAGTAAAGGCATGTCACATGCAATACTTGATTTATGTACAAGAGATAAAACAGATGAACAAATTAAACAATTAAACACTGATGTTGATGAATTTGCTAAACGAGGTTTAAGAGCATTAGCTGTTGCAATTGAAGATGTTTCTGATGGACAAAAAGATGGTAAAGGAAATGGTTTTAAATTAATTGGTCTCCTACCTATATTTGATCCACCACGTGATGATACAAAAGAAACAATTGAACGTGCACTTCAACTTGGTAATTATTTCTTGAAAACTAGAATTTTTTATTTCGGTTTAAAAAAATCTTCTAGGTGTAAAAGTAAAAATGTTAACTGGTGATCAATTAGCTATTGCAAAAGAAACAGGTCGACGTCTTGGTATGGGTGATAATATGTTTGAAGCTAAAACACTTAAAGAAGGACCACCAGCAGACTCCGGTTATAAAGATATCGATGATTTAATTTTACATGCAGATGGCTTTGCCGGTGTTTATCCTGAACATAAATATGAAATTGTTGAACGATTACAAAAAATGGGACACTTAATCGGTATGACTGGTGATGGAGTTAATGATGCACCAGCACTTTCAAAAGCAAATGTAGGTGTGGCTGTTGCTGATGCATCAGATGCAGCTCGATCAGCAGCTGATATTGTATTAACAAAACCTGGTTTATCAGTTATTATCGAAGGTAAATTTAATGTTTTTTCTTTTCATGATAAAATAATATTTTTATTCATATATTTAAAGCAATTCTTGGTTCAAGACAAATTTTTCAACGTATGAGAAACTATGCAATTTATACATGTTCAATAACAATTCGTGTTTTACTTGGATTTTCTGTATTAATATTCGCATTTAGATTTGATTTTCCATCATTTATGGTAAATAAAATCAAAAAATAAAATTTATCATAACTATAAATATTTTGCTAGGTTCTTATTCTTGCAATTCTTAATGATGGTACTATTTTAACAATCTCAAAAGATCGTGTTAAACCATCACAATATCCAAATAGTTGGCATTTATCAGAAATTTTTACATATGCTATCGTTTATGGTACATATTTAGCGGCATCAACAGTTATTTTCTTTACTGTTATTGTTAAAACAACATTTTTTCAAGATAAATTTGGTGTTCAACAATTTCAATATCATCATCATTCGCATACATTTCCCGGATGGAATAATCCAATATTAAATTCAATTATTTATTTACAAGTTTCAACAATTAGTCAAGCATTAATATTTATAACACGTTCACATAGTTTCTTTTTTCGTGAACGTCCATCAATATTATTAGTTATTGCATTTATCATAGCTCAACTTATAGCAACATTTATTGCTGTTTACGCAAAATGGTCATTTACACAAATACATGGTTGTGGTTGGACATGGGCTGGAATTGTTTGGGTATGGAATCTTATTTGGTTTTTTCCACTTGATCTTTTGAAAGTAAATTTTAAAGAAAAAAAAAATAGAAAAAAATATTTTCAATCTAATGAAATTTAGTTTTCTCTTCGTGCATATTTTGATCGGCAACAAAAAGAAACTGTTCAAGAAACTTTCGCTAAAGAACCATCAACAGATAATCAACGTCTACGTCGTCAAACTACAGTTCTTAGTATGAGTGGTCCACCATCACGTCTTTCAAGAATGATGAGTGCTGATCCAAAAAGTTCAAGACGAGGAACATTTGCTGAAATTGCAGCAAGATATTATGCACCACATACTCGACATTTATCAACATCACATCGCTTTAGAAACTTTGCTGGAGTATTAAATAATGCAACTAATACACCACTAAGCTTTTCTATAAATGCTCCTGAACTTCAACGTTTTTCACTTGTTCAGGTTAATATAGATTTCAAGATTTTCTTTGTTTAAATAGAATGTTGTTTTATTGTTATAGGCTCATCATGCATCGAAATTACTTAATGCCAAGAATGATATAACAACAACTGGTGTTTGATCTTAAAAATATTATTTGATTAAGACTTTTCTATGAGAAACTAATGAACTCTTATTATTCTATTTATATATATCTTTTATACTTACATAATATAAATCGCAGATAGATTTCTTCAATAAAACGTTATTGGACTATTTTCTACTTAACAAAATATTTAATGTTAGTAGGTGACTCAATCCTTGTCTACACATTACTTTTTAATAATAAAAACTGCGACTATTTCTATACAGATTTAATTAAATATTATTCAAGAATGTTCTTAAAGAAATAAACATCATATGCAAAACATATGTCGGATCAAATACAATGACCTTCTATTTTTTTTAATATTCTGACATATGTTTGTCTAGGATGAGAGAAATTTTTATCAGAAATACAGTCTCTTGAGATCCGAATACAATGAAGATTTTCTTAATTGAAGTTGAATTATTTAAATAAAATGGCATGCAATGATAATTTTCTCATTCAAATTATTTCGAAAGTTACTATTTAGTTTTCAAGCAAAAATGGAATGTAACAAGTATTTTATTCCACTGCCTCTTTAAAAAAAATCTATTGTTGTCAGAAATTGAGATATATGCATAGGAAGATAAGTCGCCTTCAGATCTGTCAGAAATGCGTATCTTAAATTTCTTGGTTCACGCTCAGTCAACATATTTTTTTTCTTGTTTAAAAGTGCATGTCAGGGCACAGTCTACGATCGAACCCTTTTTTTTAATTAAGGTTTCTTTTTATTATATGCGTATATACTTATATAGTCAGACACCCACTTTTCGCTAGTTTATTGAGTAATTGAACTTGTGATTCATTTTTTCTGCTGACAAGGTAAACATTTAAAAAAAACAGTCTCGGTCATGCACCGCATCTTGACATGCTTTTTCAAATAAAAAAAAGTCTAAACCAAACAATTTGGAGTGCCAAATGAGCAATTTTTCACCTTTGTTTCGCCCATACCTCTGTGAAATATTGTTGAATCGAACTAAAAATTTTACTACAGCTTCTCCATTATAGACTTAACGTATCTAGGCACAGATCAACGGTATATCTGTTTGTTTAGATATATATATATATAACAGAAGAAAACTAGAACTATATCACTCACTAATAAAATCTGTCAGTGTCTATAATATATTTGATAATACATATGTAATTACAAAGATCATTTTCTTTCGATAACTAGTAATTATTGACAATGGTACATCTTTAGTTCTTAATTAATTATGTCTAAAAGCTGTACATATACAATCAATTAAATTCTTTATAATTACATGACAAACGACTTAGATCAAAGTACATTATATGCATAAATATTAAGTACATACATGTCAGTCCAGACTGCTAATACTTATTTGCACATCTGTAAAATATAACATATATATACTTATGAAATTATGCGATTAAGACATTCTATGGGAGTACATTCTAACATAAACGAAATAAATTTTTAAAATATTGTTATTATATATTCGTATCTTTCATTATCTACTTATGTTTGTTATGAATTTTACTTCAAAAAAAAGACTTTCACCTTTGTATTGACAGTTTAACCTCACTTAGACGTTATATTATTCTTATAAAATGCACTTTTACCTTAAAAGCATCGAATAGATTAGGGGAAAGGAAGGTTATATAATACCAATATAAAAACGGAACCTTAAAAATACGTATTTAACTAAACATAAATGCACTTTACATGTCATCCAAGGTACGCATTTAAAGTGCATGTCTCTTCCATTTCTTTATTCTCGATCCTTCCTGACGTTACAAGTACGCTTTATACTGACGTCACGTACATTATACTTATAATAAATCTTACTTCTCTATTTACAAAAAAAAAATAGTATAAAAGTTAACTACAATAATATATAAGAAATGAAAACTCATAGAAAAAAATAAAATAAACATTCATTAATTGTAAGATATTTTCTATACTTGGTACGATATCAAAATAGTTAGTTTTCTTTATTGAAATGATGAAAAAATAGAGATAAGTAAAGCCCTATCAACAACATATTATTTTTCATTTTGCGTGAGTAAATTACTATCATGATAAAAACAAATATGATTTCAGTCATATGATGCAGAAAAAGGTCATTTATAAAGCACCTGACTTTAGCAATTAATGAGTATTATTCAGAAGTCATATGATTGAGTTGCCATACCTTACTGACGTAAATCTCATTAAAACGGAATTAATATTATAGCTTCTGTATACTCGATGTGTCAGTAATATTCATACTCGTTGACTGTTATTTTTCTGTTTTTGATACTATATAATAACAATATTCATGAGACAGAATTTCTTATTCTCTACTTGTCAAACGTATTTATAAATAAACCAGAGAACTGACTCATGAAAAGAGATAAGGTAATAATGGGAAGGCGTTTAGAATATATCAGTATTGTTATTTATATACATATATATAAAATAAACAAAACATTGAATCAGATAGATATTTTTTTATGTTGAATAATCAAGCGTGATTTGTTATTAAATTCTTCTAGTACTTTTAAACAAAATACTTGCTCTTTAATTTAGACAGATTTTATCAGGGATACTTTATAAATAGTTTGAACTTTGAGTTTTTTTTCTTCTCTCCAATCATATGCTATAGGTAAGTACGTTCGTGATCACGCAGACACCTTTCTGCCTATTTATTAATGTTAGTTGTTTATATATGCATGTAGATTTGATAAAAGAATATGATAAGTAAGAAGCGAAGGGATGGGCAGTATAAGGTAACTAACTGATATGTATCTATAGAATCATACACCTATGCAAGCATTTACATAGGAATATTAATAAAAAAAACATAAACAAATATTAGATAGAAATAAGAGAAAAAATTTATTCCATAACATATAAAATGTAACCCCTCTCATCTGTTCTTCATTTATCTTTATTTTTATTAACATTCTTTCTTATTTTTGTGCAAAATTTTTGCAAATATATTCTTGAGACACAAGTAGAAAGATTAAATAATATGTGTCAATAAGCAAATATGTTTATATTTATATATATTTGCATGGAACATTTTCGACTTTGAACTTATTTCTAATACGGTATGTGGGAATTTTAGATCTATTAGCAATTCGAACAGTGAAACTATTTTATTATTCGACTTCTTTCTTTTGTTGGTTTACATATACATATATATACTCATATAACAAATACTTATTGCAATACAGAGAAGTTTTGTTCCATTTAAAAGCAATCTAATCATGGGATTACTTCGCTTTTTCAAAAGCAAATCAACTCAACATTTAAGTGATTTGGTCAACAATACTCTTGTACTCGGTAAGATTATTATTTTCTTTTTTTTCTTTTTTTCAGACAAAGTTCAACTTCCAGACGAAATAAGATATACATTCCATAGTATAGTTTGTTCAGATAATGCTTTATCTTAGTGTTATTCTTTGTTTCATTACACTTGTATCCCTATAGGCAAATAATATCTATACATTATGTATTATTTTATATCTTTTAGTTCAGAGATTATAAGGCTTCATACTAATGATACATCCTATTGTAAGATAGTCAAATAAAGATCTATGTACTATACAGCTGACAATGAAGAGATTGTAGATATATATATATATATATATAAGTACTCAAAGAGAAGCAAAGTTCTTTCTTTTTCTTCTTTTCTTTCTTATACAAAAAAAAGCTGACAGGAAAAAAACGCTTTCCTTTCTTTTTTCTCTTATTTTTCTATCGTCTTTTTTTCTCTTACCAAAACCTCCTCGATTTTGATCGCTTCGTTAACTAACGTATCGATCATATAACGCTGTCAACTAACAAATAATCATCCTATCATCGAGGTTAGAAGGATATTGACATGAAGCAAAACAAAAAAAACAATAGTCGTGCATCATCGATCATCATAATATTCATTTGATCAAAAAAAGAAAACCACTAATGGCACATTCAATGACTTTACCAGAGATCAATGATGTTAATGACTGTCAGATTGTATCTCTCACAAATAGATTACCCTATTATGTAAGACATTTATGTAAATCTATCAACGAAACCAAGGTAGTCAGTGCGACACCAAATTTAAGTAAGTATTTAAATAGAAAAAAACCGAAAACAAGGAAAAGATTTTTTGTTAATTAGATAAATTGAATTGATTTCGTATGAAAGTTTTCTTAGAATAATAAAGGAAAATACATTGTTATTATCGTTTCCACATCACCTGCATTATAGGCAATGATTGGTTGTCATGATAGTTTGCTTACTCGATAATCCTTTCTCTAATTTTCTTGATCGAATAGACTATCTGTCTGTTGGTATGTTTACATAGACAACATCTGTTTCTTTTGTATGTATTCACTTATTGTTGCTGTGTATATTTTATCATAGTAGCCGACATCACCCTTTACACAACAAATACATACACTTCTTCTTCTATTTTTTTAAAATGTCGGTTTTAAATTTGTACTTTTTTTTCTCTTCTCGTTCTTTCAATCTTATTGATCGATAGTAAAAAAACGGGTTTTGTCATTATATAACCTTGAGTTTCTTTTTTTTCAATTGATCGTTTGATCGCAATGCATACATCAAGGTTTTATGGCTAATTACACATTTTTTCTGTCTCTCTCTCTCTTTCTTGTTCGATCAGTTGCTTAGATCACATATTGAACAGCAAGGTTGTTATGTATACTAGTAATGTAGTATAGAACATGGTATTGGCGACATTACAAGGTCTCGACAGTTATAGTAAAAGTCAATAAAAGAAAGCCTTATAAGATAGAAAAAAGGAAGTTTTGTTTTTTTGTTGTTATTATTTTGTTGAAGTTCTAGATGTGTCCTTTGCAAGGACATTCTCTTCTTCTTCTTCTTCTTTTTCTTTTTCTTCTTCGTCTTCGCCTTCTTCTTCTTTTTTTTATTATTATTATTATTGATAATAGAGAAACAAATTAAATTAATCTCCGTGTATGAACGCAAAGGAAAGTCTTGACGACCTTGTCGTAAATGACAAACACAAGATAAAAAAAAGCGAAACATATGATTTTTATCCGTCTCTTTACATAAGCAATTCTTTGCCGTCGTCAAAACCGTATGTTTCTACGCGTGGGATAGACATGCATGTTTGTTCTATACAGCCTCGACAGTCGACCGCAAACCTCTCGCTTTTTTTTCTCTTTACCATTTTTGTCTTGTTGTGAAGAAACTGTTCTTTTTCTTTTTCTTCTCTACATCGTTGTTTCATATGATAGTTCTTTCTTCCTTGATTTTTTTCTCTCTTTAATACAAAATGCTTTCCCTCTCTCTCTTTGCGGTTAAACCTAACACACATCAATATATTCGTCTGCTCAACAAGCAAACATCAAGCAACGAATCATTTTTGACAATTCTTTTTCTCTCTCTCTCTCCCCCTTTCTGTGGCTTTTTTTCCTTCTTTCTTTTGCATTACGTAACTTTAACTACAGCATCAGCTAGAAAGTATGTGACAGATTGCAGTATGTACTCATATAAAGAAGGAACCTTGAACGTATATGCGCTATAATAGTATTGGATGAGAAAAGAAACCGCGAAGAGAAGAGAAGAAGAAAAAAATTATTGCACTGACAAGAGAAAAGGAGACAGCATAAGTGTCAAGACAAGAGAAAAATAGTGTATCCCCGGACAGCTTCAATTGTAGACGGCCGAGTACATATTCGTTTCAGCTGTCGAACGAGTGAGTGTATATATATATATATAAAATAGGTTAGTGCAAAGGAAAAAAGAGAGAAAAAGAAGAAGAAGAAGAAAAAAATTCGGTGAAGTGTTGTCGCGTACCCATATACATACGCTGGACATCGACCGGCCAGTTGCAGAAAGAAAGAAAGAAAGAAAGAAGAAGAAAAAATAGCTGATTGTACATTGCTTCTAAACGGTCAAACCAAGCAAACAGAACAAGCGTGCGTGTGTGTTTATGTATATTTAGCTTCTTTCTTTTTTTTACATTTCATCAAATTTGAAATTTATTGAATATATATATTTATATTTATTTATTTTCATTTTATAGACGATCACAATAATAAATTATCAGAGGTGGACTCAATATCATCATCATCTTCGTCATCATCATCATCTTTACATACCAATGATGAACATCGTAGTAGTAGTGTAGCAGTTTTTTCTCTTTCATCATCATCTTCAACATCGTCTTTGAACGAAATTATTGATACATCATCATTCATGTCAACACGTATATTACCAGTGGGATTTTATCGTGAACAAGATCAACCATCACCACCACCGCCATCATCATCGTCATCATCTACAACAACAAATTCCATTGAACAAAATTCTTCAACATCTATAACAAAACGTTTTAATACATATCGTCCATATGAAAATGATCCATTACAATTTCCATCAAGTTGTTCCAATACATCTTCATCATCATCATCATCTTCATTATCACTAACAACGAAAAAAGAATTTCTAATAAATCATACACGTACACAAAATAATCCAACAACAAATTCAAGTCCAGCTGTACCTATACCTATTAAATCAGCAGCTTATTGTTCAACTGTTGATACATTAACAATTGAACAAAATTTATTTAATATGGTACGATTTGATGTTGTTAAATCGAATTTTTGTGATTATTATCAATTGGGTGATTTTGTACGTAGTGGAGGATTTTCTGATATACATGAAGGTATTCGTTTAAGTGATAATAAACAAGTTGTAGTCAAATTTATTCCAAAAGAAAAAACAAAAAATTGGTTAATGATTAGTCAGAAAAAATATCCAGCAGAAATTTTATTACATAAAGCTGTACATGAAATACAAGGTATATTCCTAACTAATTTATATTTTCTAATAAGATCTCTTTGTTTTTCAATTCATTTAGGTATTATTCATGTTTATGATTATTTTGAGAATGGTCAACATTGGATATTAGTCATGGAACGTCTACGTAATTGTCAAGATTTATTCGATTTTCTAGAATCGAAAGATCGTGGACGACTTAGTGAAGCAACAGCTAGAAAATTCTTTCAACAATTAGTTCATATCAATTATGCCATGTTACGGTAAGATATAAAGAATTCACATTAAGATTATCACAAATATGATTTAGATCATAAGAAAAGATATTTTTAGACCTAGAATTAAGACACTAGTGACATGAAGTACTGTTTCGATTATTACAAGGCTTATTAAGATTGATTATGATATATGTCTGAATTGGTTGAGACAACGTCTGTAAGAAAAGATACAACAAATGCTAAAAGAAATAGAGAATAAATTTTATTAAGTCTGGAGACTATTATAAAGTAACAACGTGTTAGAGATAAATCACAAAACCCTACGGTATTAACATCAGACGTAAAAAAACGCCGTTAGCAAAAAGAGTGATTATAGGCCAAGGTCGATACTTGAAAAGATGGCGTCTCTTTTTTTCAATGCTAATATTAAAAACAAGGATTTATCCGTATTAAAATATTAGAATAAATAAATACTAATCATTTGTTGTTTAAACTGTTAGCAGCAGCTGTTGTCTTCTTGATTATGATTAATAGAAATATTCTTACGTCATTCATATATCTATTTTTAAATGTTTCTATTTTTAGAAAGGGCGTTGTACATCGTGATCTTAAAAGTGAAAATATTTTAGTTGATCTTGATTCAGAATCACTTGTATTGATTGATTTTGGTGCCAGTGCCATTTATAAATCTTCGACATCTTATTATTCAGATTTTCATGGAACAAAACAGTATAAATCACCGGAATATATTTTAAAAAAACGTTATACTGGTGTACCATCAACTGTATGGACACTTGGTGTATTACTGTATGATATGGTTCGTAGAAAATGAATTCTTTTTCAATAGAAAAATTTATTTTGTTTGAAATATTTTAGGTTTGTGGAAGTTTACCTTTTGAAAATGAAGACGAGATAACTGGATATAAATTAGTTCTTAAACCACATCTATCACCGGAATTAAAAAATTTAATTCAACGTTGTCTCGCACAAAATCCTGATCGACGACCGTCCCTTGAAAGTTTACTTGAACATGCTTGGGTTAAAGGTTAATATAATGAATGGAGATTAAAAAAAAAAGAAATAATAAAAATATATATATACATATTTATATATATCCGTGTGTATAAACGTCTCGCAATTTTGTTTTTTGTCTATCTTTGTTCTTAAATCATCAACAGTGAGTTTGTGTGTTTTTTTAAAAAAAAAGAGAGAGAGAAAATCAATATGTATCCATCTAATTATTCTTCACTGTGGGTATAGTCGTTTATCTGCCCGCATTTATTTTTCTTTTCTTCTAAAAATGGGTGGTGCTCTCCCATATACATATATATCTTCTGTTAGATTATCAGGAATTATTTCTTATTGCTTCCATATAGGCAAATTTATGTACGGTCTCAGTGATACCTGTTTAATAAATAACTCGCGCGCGCAGGTCATGTGTATCTATAATGTGGTTTCTTTTCTTTACTTTTTTTTTTCTTTTTTCTGCATGAGTTAGACTGTGTAGTAGATTAGACGAATTTGCGATTGTTCATTCATTCACTTTCTTTCGTTTTTTTTGCATATATACAGAAACAAAAAAGTGCTGCACTTCTTGTTTTTTTTTTCTTGTTTTTTTTTGCTTCTCCTTCAAACCAAATGTCTGATAATTCTTTGCACACGAAAAAAAAATATATCTTGTCTATTGTTTTGTTTTGCTACCTCTGTGACGAAAAGAAAAGAAGAAGAAAAAAAAAATCTCAAATTGTTTAAAAATATTTGTGTGTGTGTGTGTGTGTGTGAAAAATGTCATTTTCTTTCTTTGATTTGTATCGTCTTCATTAATTGTTGGCTATAATCTGGTGTTTATCCTCGAAAAAAAAAGAACATGAGAAAATAATGAAAATATTATTATTTTTTTTCTCTGTTTTTCTATAAACATTTTGTCTTTGATCGATTCTGATGAATAAAAGCAAAAATATGTAGTTATATTCAAATATTTTGCTTTTTTTTCCAAATAGGATGATAATTTCATCGAAATATCTTCACATTAAATAGCCTTGATCATTGACATTCTATTCAATAAGACAACAAAAGTTCGAATGGGATAATTTCGAAAGCAAAGTCTAAGAGACAGACGGGCGCAATGAAGAGAACATGATGTTTATATTTACTTTAAGTTTGTCTTTGTATACTGAAATAATAGCAATCAAAATGAACCATGATTTGTTAGGGGGGACATCTCGATAATTCAATGTTAATAAAATTTTTAAGAAGAAGCTGAAGATACAAAACTAATCAAATATTTTTCTCGATTTAGGATTTAAATTCTTATGTATCTAGTTTGTAGAGACACCTGCAGTATTCTGATGAAAGATAGAGTTTCTAGATTATCTTTGTCGTATGGCTTATTTATATATGTATAGTATCAGATTAGTATCTGAAATAACATTTTATTTTTTTGAAAATCTGCAGTATACTACACACTTTTTATAGAATAATAAAATTCGATATCTTAACCGGCATTCTAATGAAAGAGATTTCTATATGTAAATAAGAATGTACTATTCGAGAAGTTTCATAGGTCATATTTAAGTTTTCGGATTTGTACGACTTTAGTTGAGTATTCCTTCGTTTACTCTCCCTGGTCATGTACTGTTAAGTAAAATAATCTTATACATCATTAGAAATATTTAGTTCGTTCTAAATTAAAATTATTAAACGTATAAAAGTTTAACATATAACATTGTACGACTAACAAGATTCATTATCACTTGTTATATAAGCAAACTATATACTATGATATCAAATGCATGTATGTATAAACTTATATTTATATGTATATCAAATCTTCTATCATAAACCATCATTAATATTGAAGTTACTCGTAAGAAATAAAATATCAACGTATACCTGCTCATCAAGATAGATTTTGAATATATATATATATATCATCTATTTCGAAGTTATCAAAGTCAATATTAAGAAAGACCTGTATGAAAATGCTGTAATTGAACGTAAAAGATACAAAAAATGATAAACAAATATATTCATATATCAATTTGATTAATATCTAATTTTTGTCTGTATCCTTGGTTCATATTCATTTTCAATTATGATGATTATCTGATGAATTAAAATAATGTCTCTTCTTTTTTTCTTTGTTAAATGATTCTATCAATATCGAATATAATCTATCATATATGTTTAATAAAAGACATGAATTTTGTCTTTGTCTGCGAAAAAAATGACAAGCAAGTCATAGAAATATATTCCGAACAAAAAGCGTTCAAGGGCATATCGATTGAGCGAAGGTAAGGATTTTTTTTTGAATAATTACGAATTCATTGATTTCTACGAGCGCCAAGCGTGACGCCGAGTCAATAGGGTACACGTTTATGCCGTACGACAGAAGCAAGCAAAAAAAGGTGCAGAGCTAAAAAAGATACGCCTGTCATATTTTTTTTGTACATATTTATTACATCAAGCGACGAAGGAATGAAAAAAAGAACCGCAAAAAAAGAAAACTGTATTGTTGATCAAGCAAAGGACAGAATCGATTGACGACATTATTCATTTGAGAAAAGAAATTACTATTTATTGAACATCTTGTAGTCTGTGTTTATTTATAATTGTTAAATTAATATACAAATGGGTTTATGTTTCGATTCGGACACCAATCAATATGAATATTGTTCATCTCATCTAACAACCTATATGTAAAGAAATCACAAGTTTTATATATTAATTAAATTAAAGTACTGTCGTTTATTTGTATTTCAGTGCTGTAGGAGTTATTGTACCATTAGCTATTCTATTGATCATCATGCTTGCATATATTTATCTTCGTTGTAGACAAAGACAATTAAGACGACGTAGAATTTAGAAAAACAATTATCATTTTGATTTATTTATTTATTTTTTCATAGAACATCAACAAACTTATATGGCAACAATTATTCCAATTTATAATACTGATCAACAAAGTCAAGCATCATCATCATTTAATTATCCTTACCCACCACATTATACATCTAGGTCAGCAAATGGTTTTGATAAACCACCATCCTATGAACAAACTGTTCAAGAAGTATCAACAACTAATAATGATTTAGCATTAAATCCAATTACAACCGCAGCAGCAGTGACAACGTCGGAAGAACCAACAGAATCGATAAGAATTGCATTTTAATGAAATATATATATATAGTTTATCTTTTTTGTATCGATTTTTTACTTTTTAATACGATTAATGCATGTGTCTACATGCGACATCTTGAAAAATATTTTTTTCATTATATATAGTTGTTTGATAAGTAAACGAATGTCAATATAAATGTGTTGTTAAAAAGATATGTAATATTTCTTGGTAGATATTTTCTACCATTTTTTTTTGGCAATAGAGGTCATTCCAATCTTTACCAACAGATAATTTATTAGCAAATCCGTATTTGTGAAAGAAAAAAAAGTAAATAAACAAACAATTCTTCCTTCTGTTCACTTTCCTACTCGAACTTGTTTCACATTATAGAAAACGAGAGAACAACATTATTATTATTTAACAGATTATTACTGAAATCAGTCGAATCGTTCTTTTATGTATATGTACATCTATATATAATGATATTTATATATATATATAGTTAGAAGGTTATTAACTTTCATTGCATAATCTAGGGTTATATTGTAGATATTATCTCTCTTTACTAAGAGTCAAGCAAATCAGAAAAGAACATTGAAAGCGATTGTCAACTGTATGAATTAAAGTATATTAATACTAATAAATTCTCTTGTTGTTGTTATTATCGCCTCATTAAGGGCGTTTGATCTGATTAACTATATTTATTTCTAAATAATTACAAATGAACGATCTTAGCGTTGAAGTGGGACATCCCAATGGTGCCTACTATAAAGTAAGTTATTGTATATTATTCTTACAAATGAAACAATTTTCTTTTTAAGGCATACGTACATGATGTGGATGCAACCGGTATTGATGTCAAATATGATCAAGAGTAATAACAATTTTTATATTTATACAAAAATAAATTTTGATATTTTTTTTTTTCTTATAGTTTTTTCCCTCCATCAAAAATTCCCTTCTCCGAGAATCGTATTCGACTTCCGCCTGAATCAAGTGATCTTAAGAAATTATCACCTGGCGATCCGTGCGAAGTATATCTAGTAATTTACAAAGATTTTCAAATATATGTTTGTCGTTTTTCTTAGGTACTTTCAAAAGCAAAAGAAGATGAACCATTGGGCTGGTGGCCAGCTACTGCTAAAATGTTCAAAGGCGATTTTTTTGTTGTTGATTATAAAGTTAGTGCTCAAGGCGCCAGTTATTCGGATATTGTACCTAGCGATAAAATCCGCTGTCCAAACACAAAGTAAATACATATAGATTTTGAATATCTATAAAGCGTTTTTTTTTTCTTTTAGTCCACCGATAAATTATTCAATGTTTAAACGAATAGAATTACCTGTTCCTAAAGAGAGTCAAGAAGCGTATGAGTTATCTATTTGTTTCTTTCTAATAAACATATTATTTATTTCTAGTTGTAATAATCCAGCTAATCACAAAGATTTCAAACGAACAACAGGTGCTGCTGTTGTTCGATATGACAAAGCTAATGAATGTCTTGTTGTTCTTGTAAATCTATTAATAATTTTATTTTGACATTTATTTATTTTTCTAAATCAAATTTTTTTTGTAGTCTGACAATGATAGTACACTTCGCCGTGCTCAAATATTATCTGAAATGCATTTTCGAAATTTACGATCAAAAGCAAAACTTGTACAAGAAACTGAAAAAGTTTCTAAACAACTTGAAGTATAGAAAGAAAAAAATAAATATTCAATAAAAATAAAATTTTATTTTTTTGTATAGCGAATAAAGGTTAATCAAACATCAAAATTTTTTGAAAAATTTACTGTTAAAACTGAGTTAATGGGTCTTGCCATTGGTTCTCATGGATCAAATATATTAAAAGCACGTGAGGTACCTGGTATTACAGCAATTGAAGTCGAAGATGATACTTGTACGATTAAAGTATTTGGTGATGTGCGTCATTCAATTATTTTATATTTATTATCAATTAAGAAAATCTTTTTTTTTTTATTTTCTAGACTGAAAAAGCTGTTAAAGAAGCACGTAATATACTTGAATATACTGAAGATGTTGTTTCAATACCAAGAGAACTTATAGGTAAGAGAAAAAGAAAAAAAATTATTATTGGAAATATTTTCATATTAAATATTTAGGCAAAGTTATTGGTAAAAAAGGCCATATTATTCAAGAAATAGTTGATAAAAGCGGTGTTATTCGTGTAAAAATTGAAGGAGATAACGACCAAGCAGCACCACGCGACGAAAGTAGCTATCCTGTATGTTTAATTAAAATTTATAAAGATAAAAAAAGAATCTTTTTATTTTAACAGAGTCAAGTTCCGTTTATATTTGTTGGTACAACAGAAAGTATCGCAAATGCTAAAGTTTTACTTGATTATCATTTGGCTTGTTTAAAAGTAAATAGAAAACAAAACAAAATATTATTATTTTCATTTTAAATTTATTGTTTTTATTTAGGAATTCGACGAATTACAAGAGAAAAAAACTCAAGTTAATGAACAATTTCGTACTATTATTGGACCACAACAAGGAGCCGGAATGAATATGGTTGCTGGAATGGGTTATCAAAGCGGACGACAACAACGGTATGAATATCAATAATATAGGCTTCATATAGAAATATACTGAGTTTGACCTTCATCTCAATGTTTTTTCATTTATTTTACTAAAGAAAAGAATTCAATATTGATTATGAGAGATTCATATACAATTTAAAACATTATATAGAAGCTGAAGAGCTAAGCATTTTTCAATATTTATAAACATTTGAATTCTATTAGATCTTATGATGTTGCTACGATGTTCTGTACATATTGACCAAACTCCTTGAATAGTAATTAGATATAGATGGATTGAATTCGATTCATAATTAATGTAGTCGGCTTCGATCAAAAATTTCTATATAGTCTCAATGAAACATTATCAAGACTCATATATTGATAAGTAATGAAGCTAGCTTGGTCAATATGAGATACATTGTATTGGGAATAATTTATATCTTTCAATTATTTAAATCAATTTGATTCAAAACATCAGTTTAATCGAATAGATTGTGATGTTTTATACACGAAACTGAATTTATAGAATAGAGATAAAATTCAATAAGAAATTGCCAAGTTGAGTCTTAACAGCAGAATATTTTTTTTTTCTATGAATCATTGCATGAATTTTATTAATCATGAAAATTTTTAGTTATGAATCTGATCGAATGAGTAATTCTGGTAGTACACGAAATTATCGTGAATCAGGTTATCAACAACAACAATATCCTTCGCAACAACGTGGTGGTGGTGGTGATAATTATAATAATCAATCACTACGTCGATCTAATTTCTCTGGTGGTAGTCGAGGACGACGAGGTGCTGGTGGTAATTTATATCGAGGTGGTACACAAAGTGATGCTGGCACTGGTGGTAAGTTTCATTCGAAGAAATTCGTTTTTTTTTTTAAATCGAAATTGTCCCATATGAGAAATAAGGATAAAAATATTTATCTTAACAGATGAAGCCAGCGAGTGTGGTGATGCAGCATCATCGACGGTTAGTACCAGCCGAAAACATCGCGACTGGGCGGCACAGGTCGAGAGCGAACAACAACAAGAGGCTGGCTATAGTACTGATAGTATGATACATTCAGCTACGCTGCCGAGGGGTGCTGGTGGACGAGGTGGTCGACGCGGCTGGAGACGTGGTCGACCACCATTACCAGACCGTCAAGGTGTGGATATAATAAAAGCCTGCTTTTTAATTTCTTTTGCTTTTTTTTTTGATACATAACCAGATAATCGATCGCATGTATCTAGATAAATACATTATATCTTTAATAACAGAAGCATGCTTTGCTGTATTTGACTAATACTTATATATAATACATAATACATATAATTAATTGCTTTATTTTAGGTTATAATGATCGTCGTCGAAATAATGATAATGAAAATACTACATTTGATACGCAAGATAATAATGGTAGTGATATTACTAATTTATTTCTTAGAATTAATTTTGTTTATTTAGAAGGACAACAACAGTATAATGATCAGTATGCATCACAACGTTATCGTTATGGTAGTACACGTAATAGTCGAGGCGGTGGGGCTAATAATAACTATCGATATAATAATAATAATAATAACAATATAAACAACAACACAAATGAATATTATGAAGAGAATTACGGTATTGGTGGACAATCGCAACAAATATCAACAAAAAAGCCTCAACAAACATCATCAAATAATGGAGTCGATTCAAATGATATTATACCATCAGAAACGATAAATGGTAGTGGACCAAAAGGTCAACGACCGCCAAAACAGCAAAGTAATGGTGTCAAATAAACCTTTATTCAGACTAGGAAAAATTAAAAACAATCCACATACTCGATTTTTTTAATATATTCTTGTCACCTTATGTGTGTATTTTTCTTCATGGTTGCTGCTTTTTTTTTCTCATGTTTTTGTACATGCTTTTATTCGTCTGCTTGATTTCATCGTTTTAAACGGAGTTAACATAATGACTAAATCAACATCTGTCTTCCAGCAACCTAATTATTTACAAAGAAAAAACTATCGCTCGTTTTCTTTTGTGATCCTTATCCTTTGACGTGTACGTTTCTTATGTTCTCTGTTCATTCTTTTTTTTCTTCTGTTTTCTTCTGTTTTCTCTTCTTCAAAAATCTAGCTCGTTTTTGTCTTCTTTTATTGATGATGTTAATCATGTGTGAGTGTTTGTCTATCTGTCCTATGTATTGCATAAGCGAACAACACGCGCATCGTCACATACATGAGAATCATGAAATCTTCTTTTGTTGTGTTTGTTTCACTTTTCTTTTTCTGTCTCTCTTGCGTTTTCTTTTTCATTGCACTTTTTTTCTCTCTCTCTCTCTCTTCTTTTTTGCTAAAAAAAACAAGTATTAAAGAAAAACAAGATGGTGACATAAACTAAATATGTATAAGTTCAGAAATAGTTCTTTTGAATGATAAACAAAGAGACGACGGATAAAAAAAATGATCAAAATATTTATTTAAAAATAAAATTAAAAGTAATAGACATCGAATAAAAAATATGATGTGGAATTTAACGAAAATGATGATATCGTATTGTTCGTTTATTATATACATTCTTCTATGGAATCATTTATTTTTATTGTGAATAATTGGTATGTATGTATTTGATTACACGCCATTGCTCTTCTATGAAACATAGACTTGCAAAAATGTATTGGACTAATCACAGGCTTATTTCACGTGACTTTATAATCAATAGAAAGTACGAAAAAAGCAAAAAATAACAAAAAGAAAATTGGTCTGGATTGTTTTGTGTATATATAGAATACACAATACGAACGTTTATTTTATATTTATCTATATAAACTGTATTGAAAAAAAAAGTACTAGTAAAATATTCCTTGCAACGAAATACTTCGAAAATCAGCCTGGTCTCGTGCCACTATAAAAAGAGAATCGTGATTCGTTTCCTTATCACTTCAGCTCAGCCGATATTAACGCAAGTACACGTGCCATCTTCATATTCTATATCATCAAATTCATTATGAGTTTAAACGGAGGTGATCCACGTACATATAAAAGTAAAATAATAGGCAAATGACATTTATTTTCTATTCTATTTACAATACTTTTAGAAATTTCCAGTGATAGAAATACTACTGATCATCAACAAGGAGAATTATCATCAATGAATAATCTGAATATAAATAATACAAATGATTCTACTAATCAAACGAATTCTTCGACATCATACAATAGTTCATCATCGAATCTTTCAAATGAAACAAATCAATCAAACGATCATGGAAGATCAATCTAAGAATGAACTAATTTTATTTTTTATCAAATAATACAACAGCGTATTTTTCCGTATAGCTTCAATATAATATTTTGTTCTTTAAATTTTATAATTTAAATATATTACTTTGCAAAGCAACTACTTTTTCTTTCGAAATTATACGGTAAAGGATGAAAATTCTTATACAAAAAGAAGATTATCACTTGATAGGACTTCAATTTTCAAGAGTGTAGAGTATTGTTGTAGCTATTCGAAGAATATGTTTTCTTTCTGATCAAATAATTAAAAAGTTCTTAACGATGTAGACAATTGCCTTTTATTATGCACATAATATTGGTAATTGTAAGTCTGTTATCATTATTTCATAGTTTTACTTCTATAAGAAAGAACTTTGAGAATGATTTCGTGCTATAGTTTAAAACATAGATTTATCATTATGCTCTTTGTGAATACAAATATTTAGTTCGATCGAAACTCGTAGAACTCTATATAATGGAAAGCAAATTTACCATTAGAGATTTACAATAAGATTGTTCTCAATTTGTACTTCTTTTTAGCGAAGTTTTGCTAAATATTCTAAAGTATTCGAATATCTTTAAACTTATCAAGAATTACTGGAATATTTTCGCATCGAAGTCCATCCTACCAGTTGATTCAGATATTTTCTATGTTAATGAATAACAAATAGAGACATAATCTTAAGATTTATCCTTTTTTCAAAACTGCTATCATTCATATTGGATTAAAATACTTCGACAATCTTCTTTTTGAACTATTCGTTCAGTGCAGATGGTAGAAATATTGAATTTCTTCATTATGTTAGATCTCTACAAAATCTAGACTTAAGTTTTATACTATTATGCATATATATGTAGAGAATAATGAAACATTATAGTGTTCTATTTTTAAATTGGACTTAAAGTGTCTGCCACCGTACGTGACGAGATATAGGAAAAACAATAGATGTTATCAGTGTATTGTAATTCTTGACGAGTGCACTCGTTTTTATTATAGTTTCGTATCGAAAGAATAAATATACCATAATTATAACCATGTTCTAGTTTGAAGATTGTCATAGGTGCATTGTTATCATCAATAAATTAAATTAAATAAGATTGTTCAAACTTAATGAATTTATTAGTCAAACTTCTTCTCTATACTAATAAGTTCGACATTGTTTGATTTCAACTAGGTATGTACAGTGTCAATCAAGCTGATATTTAAAGGGATCCATGATCAGTTGGACTAATATATATAT